TATATATATATATATATAGAGTTTAGAAATAGCATCTACGAAAAATTTCTCTTTAGTTTTACATCAAACTAAATATTAAATAAGTAACCGTAATGAATCTAATATAAGTTTTATAATTTCTATCAATTTAGAAAATTGTCATTTTTATAAATAATGTAGGAAAATATATATTTTAAATAATTTAAATGATAAAAAATTATGCAATATATACAAAATTCAAAAACAATAATTTTAGAGAAATTATATCTACAAAAGAGATATTTTTAGTAGATATTTTTATTTTAAATCTCTTTAAATTAAAATATTAGCAGAAAATTAACTATTTGTCTGTCCTTTATGCAGTTACAGGATAAATTAATTTAATAAAAACGATACTGGAAAAATTTGTTATTAATTCAATTTTTAGTTTGAAGCTTTTATGTATTCTATTGGCTTTGGTTATTTCGGCAAATATCTTTAATTTGGCTATCCATCAACTAACCAGCAGCTGACGGACAGGCAATGCCAATATCCTATATTTATTTCTATTCTCCGGGAGAAGATAAGCTCTTTTTAGAACGATCGCAACTTAAGCTTAATAAGTTAGTGTTACATTCCTCATTTCGCCTTTCTTCTTCGCTCGATGTTGGTTTTAACTGGAACATTCAAAAAGCCAAGATTGGATTGATATAATGCCTCTTTGAGATAGTCGAGATTGCCAAGTTGATTTATATCGAGCGCTTTTACAACAAATTTGTTGTCTTGTGTATCACATGTGTCGCATGCATATGGAACAGGAGTAGCGGACGGGAACATAAGTTTCATCTTATTGCTGTCCATCTCTTTGCCAGGACAGTATGGTACGAAGATAACAGGAATGAATCCTAATTGCCCAATGATAGAGGTGAGAGTCGAGCTGGTTGCTACGTTTGTGTTGTTATTCGACTCGACTAAGTAACAGGGACATGCTTGTGAATTTGGCCCTACAGGTAACGATAAGGGCTTGACGTTGATGGAGCTGGGCGGCTGAACCCGTATAGCATCGAGAACGGGATTCATCCGGAATGTCTGCTCAAGGCGTGCATTTACCTGTCTGTTCGGAGCAGAGGAAGGTCCATCCGATTGAAATGACACGTTAGAAATCAATTTGCCATCCACATCGGCAGAATTATTATATTGTCCATCCACATTAAATTTGTCTTCTTGTTGTTTTAATTTATCAGATTGATCTGAGCCTTTAAGAGGCTTTTGCTGTTGTGAGTTATAAGATGGATAAAATATTGACTTTTGATACTGATCCCGATCGTGCACAAAAAATTGCTTCAAGTTATTTTTCGAAGGTTTCCTTATTTGTTGCGATTCTGTATGTATCAAATGATCATAAAATTGTGAATTCGGTTTCAACACATCTGTATATTGATAATCTTCAATCTCATATTTTAATGATGACGGTGTCAGATCTGTTTGCAACAGTGAATTAATTTTATTTGCGTTGTACGTAGTTTCCTTTTCCCCATAGATTGACGATGTGGATTGAGTCCCGTATTGAGGTCTATACTGACTTTGCTTTATATATAATGATGTATTAACTTTTGTTGGATATGACAACTTCGACAATTTGATATCTTTTAGAGTATAGTTCGTATACGAAGAATCAGTTTTATTATTAAAACTATATTTCGAGATGGAGTTATATCTGTCTGTGTCAAATGACTCAATGGTAGGATGATTTATTGAACTTTTATGAGAAGGTTTTCTTGTTGGTTTTATTCCGGGTATGTAATCTGGATCACCAGGCCATGGTCCATCAGGACCCGGGGAACCGGTTGGCCATGGTCCGTCGGGACCATCAGGACCAACGCCACCGATACCTCCAATGCCACCAATATCACCAATCGGACCTATACTTCCCACTGGACCCTCAGGTCCTATTGGCCCTTCTGGATTCTTTGAATCTTCTGTATATTCTGGATAACCTGGATAACCTTCATAGATGTAATCAGAACAATATGAATAAATTATTATATATTCAAATCTTATGCAAGAATAACTAATGTTTAACGTAATATTATATTTATAATTACAGTAATAATAATTAAGTAATCTTAATAACATACCTGGTTCACTCGGCTTGAAAGAAATGCTTGGCCTATTTGGTGTAATGGCAATCCCGGGATATAATAAATCATCTGGTTTACCTAACGTCTCAGAATGTAAAGGTACATTAGGTGGTTTTGATATAACAGGATAAATAGGATATCCAGGATATGACAATATTGGTTTTCCTAAATTTTCGGATATTCCTGATGTGCTAGCGATACTAATTCCTATGTGTCCTGGATATGATGTTCCCGGTTTTTCTTGTGTTCCCGGAGTTTCTGGTATACCAGGATATGTTGGATATAATTCGACAATTCCAGGAATGCCTGGAGTTCCTGGATGTCCAGGATATGACGGCGTTCCTGGTTTGTCTGGCCTTCCTGATATGCTAGAAATGCCAGCAACGTTAGAAGTTCCAGGATGTCCGGGATATAACGAAATTTCTGGCTTTTCTGGTGATCCTGAAGATTCGATTGTGCCTGTAGTACCATGAATGCTAGAAATCCCTGTATGTTCGCCGGGATGTAACGACGTAATTGGTATTTCTGGTATTCCGATTATTTCAGAAGTACCAGGTCTGTCAAGATAACCTGGATGTGGAAGTAATCCAGATGTTTCTGATGAACTAGAAATACCAGATGTACCCGCGTGTCCAGGATACGTGCCTGGTGTTTCTGGTATACCGGATAAGTCTGGAATCTCTGAATATCCAGGATACGATGGTGTTACTGGTTTTCCTGGTATGCTTGGAATAGCAGGAGTGCCAGAAGTTCCTGAATGCCCTGGATCTGGTTTTCCTGGTATGCCTGGAATTCCAGGTTGTCCAGGGATGCCAGGAATTCCTTGATGCCCTGGATATAATGGTGACCCTGGTGTTCCAGGAATGCCTGGAGTACCAGGGATGCCAGGAGTACCAGCGATGCCAGAAGTTCCTGGATTCCCTGGATATAATGGCGTTCCTGGTGTTCCTGAATGACCTGGATATGACGGAGTTCCTGGTTGTCCTGGTCTGCTTGGAATACTGGGAATGCCAGGAATACCCGGATGTCCTGGATATGACGGCGTTCCTGGTTTTCCTGGTGTACTTGGAATACCGGGAATGCCAGGAATACCCGGATGTCCTGGATATGACGGCGTTCCCGGTTTTCCTGGTGTACTTGGAATACCGGGAATGCCAGGAATACCCGGATGTCCTGGATATGACGGCGTTCCCGGTTTTCCTGGTGTACTTGGAATACCGGGAATGCCAGGAATACCCGGATGTCCTGGATATGACGGCGTTCCCGGTTTTCCTGGTGTACTTGGAATACCGGGAATGCCAGGAATACCCGGATGTCCTGGATATGACGGCGTTCCCGGTTTTCCTGGTGTACTTGGAATACCGGGAATGCCAGGAATACCCGGATGTCCTGGATATGACGGCGTTCCCGGTTTTCCTGGTGTACTTGGAATACCGGGAATGCCAGGAATACCCGGATGTCCTGGATATGACGGCGTTCCCGGTTTTCCTGGTGTACTTGGAATACCGGGAATGCCAGGAATACCCGGATGTCCTGGATATGACGGCGTTCCCGGTTTTCCTGGTGTACTTGGAATACCGGGAATGCCAGGAATACCCGGATGTCCTGGATATGACGGCGTTCCCGGTTTTCCTGGTGTACTTGGAATACCGGGAATGCCAGGAATACCCGGATGTCCTGGATATGACGGCGTTCCCGGTTTTCCTGGTGTACTTGGAATACCGGGAATGCCAGGAATACCCGGATGTCCTGGATATGACGGCGTTCCCGGTTTTCCTGGTGTACTTGGAATACCGGGAATGCCAGGAATACCCGGATGTCCTGGATATGACGGCGTTCCCGGTTTTCCTGGTGTACTTGGAATACCGGGAATGCCAGGAATACCCGGATGTCCTGGATATGACGGCGTTCCCGGTTTTCCTGGTGTACTTGGAATACCGGGAATGCCAGGAATACCCGGATGTCCTGGATATGACGGCGTTCCCGGTTTTCCTGGTGTACTTGGAATACCGGGAATGCCAGGAATACCCGGATGTCCTGGATATGACGGCGTTCCCGGTTTTCCTGGTGTACTTGGAATACCGGGAATGCCAGGAATACCCGGATGTCCTGGATATGACGGCGTTCCCGGTTTTCCTGGTGTACTTGGAATACCGGGAATGCCAGGAATACCCGGATGTCCTGGATATGACGGCGTTCCTGGTTTTCCTGGTGTACTTGGAATATCGGGAATGCCCGGATGTCCTGGAAATGATAATTATTAATGTGTTGAAATAATTAAAATTATTATTGAAGAGTTAATTATTGAAGGAATTATACGTAAAGTATGTATGACTACTGTTTTTGTAATGATTTTTATTAAAAAATATCGTATCAAATGTTACTCTTTTTTTAATTTTGAATACATCTTTCACTTTCTAATACATTATGAAGTTTATTAATAATGTAATTAATTTTATATATAATATTGCTCTATATATGTGTAATTTTAATTATTGTTATATATTAATATATAATATAGTATTTAAAATTTTTATACCTGATGAGTCAGGCGTATAAGGAGGTCGATTTGGTTTTGTTTCAATCATTGATCCGCTTCCAATAGGTGCTGCTTAAAATTTGAATAGGTGACCACATATTAATTTTAATAACACACTCATTTATAGTTTTTATGTATAATATACATATGGTAAACCTGACGATAAAGTTCCTAACTATAGTAGTAAAGAAACACAGATATTACACATAACAAAGTGTTATATTTTATCTTTAAAAAAAAAATAAATTTATTTAATAGAGCTCTTTTAATATTATTTTTTATCTTTTAAATTTTAAACAAATCTTTCATAACATGTATGCATTTTACATATCTTTGATACAAAACCGTAAATCTTTTTTTGAAATTTGTAGTTGGAATGCTGTTCCTAAAAGCTCTAAAATATTTTGAAAAATAAATATTTTCAAAATATCGAGAACTTTTTAGAGAAATGTGAAGACTGCTCTAAACAGAATTGCAATTATAGACTTAAAAAAAATTTTGAATATCTAATAGATATATAAAATGTGTTTGATATTATGAGGAACGACTTCAATTTAAAAAATACAATATAACGTTTGTTATGAGATATTTGTATTTTTTTTATTTCTGTAGAACTTTATTCCTTAGAACTTTACTGTCGGATCACATATATTTTTATTTACATACTTCCTTCATTTGGTGGAATGTTCGTATTTGTGTATTGCGCACACACCATGGGAAAATGTAACTCTTGCCATGATGTAATCACACCATGATGCTCGTGATGATCATGTTTGTCTCCGTTCTCATGATGTTCGTGCTTGTGAAGGAAAAGTTCCACGTCCTTCCCTGGTTGAACAACGCGATAACCCCATCCGTCACTGATATAAAATGTTGTTTTTAGATGGCCAACGGGATCAACGTAGCCATAACATCCATAAGTAATCCCATGTAGGCCACGTATTTCGTGATGAAATTGTCCATGTGGATTGACATCGTAACCATATTTGTATGCATCTATAAAGTACAATAATCAATTGTAATCGCAACTTGTTATATCTAACACATTTTTTTGACCACAAGAAAAAGTGAAATCTATAATTTTTACGTTTCATTTTAGGTAGCATTTTATATTAAAAATAGAACAGCACATATTAAAATTATAGACTCATTTTATTTGTGTCAAATTCTTTATTATCTATATTTCTTTCATTATTTTTAAGTCTTTTGGACTTGCCTGCTTCAAAGTTTTGGCTTAAGTACTGAATTTTTTGTTCGTCGCTGATGCTTAAAATCACTTCGCCATCTCGATTGGTGCTTGTTAATTCCTGAGTGAATTGCGACATGGAAGTAGCAATCACCTGAAAAATAATTGTTTTTTATTGTTTGCAAGACATAAATAAGTCGAATCTATGTACATGTTATATATATATATATATAATTATAAAACTTTATTCAATTTCTTCAATAAAATATATTTAATATATTACATAAAAGAGTAAAGAATGTTTTCAATAATAACATTTGAGTTTAAAAAAAAAATTAATATCTTTTAAGATAATTTATTCAATGAAAAAAAGAATAATGGTGGTAGTAGATAATAGTGGATAAAAGTAAATAATGAAACAATTATAGAAGTTAGAATTGAACGAAGAAAATATTATTCCACACAGGAACTATCGTGATATCGTATTACATCATTAATAATTCTAATAACAATAAAAGTATTTTAATTTTTGTTATGATTAATAAAAATCTAAAGATATTCATATCTTATATGCATACATAATATTTTTTAATGTTTATTTATAAAGCTATAATTGTTCATGTAAATTCGTGTAAACTACATTAATTGTTAATTGTCATATATGTTATCTTTGTGCAGAAGATTCTTTTTCTAATAAGAAACAGTTGTTAATCGCAATAATTTGCTTTGTCCAGGCACGTGACATTTCCAGTGAAACATGATGTAATTATCGAGTTGTATTTAAAAACAGTTGGCCTTTAATATCAGTCGGTAGAATTAAGTATTTGATGCGATCTGCAAGCACGTATCGTGAAATATCATAGTTGGCATTTCCAGTTTCTGTAGTTAGAGCGATTTGTAATTCTCAGCTATTAATTTTCCAAATGTTGCAACTAGCAACACGCAGTCTAAAGTATTTTAAATATAAATTATGCTTCGGTTGTGTAGAAAAAAAGAAAGGAAGGAAGGAAAAGGTATGAAAATAAGAAACAGGAAAAAAGAATTTTGTCCAGAGACTATACAAAAATCTAAAAGCTTCA